AGAAATTATGCGGCCGATTGGATATGTGCTGGTTCATTTTGGACATGCGAGTGCAATGTCGCATAGCATTTCGTGAATTTTGGGGTGTAAAAGAAGTTATTTGACGGGGTGGTGTGAAAAAGAAAGAATAGATATATAATGGGGTGAAAAAGATTTTGACCCTTAATATTATATAAAAATAAGATCCGTAAATTAATTTTATTTTATTTATAATATTGCAGAGACACATTGTGTTTTAAGCCAATGATTATGAATTCAACCCCACAAACTAACCACAGATCCCATTTGACGCTAATCAGGTAAGAACGCATTCACCGATTAATATAACTATATGAGAGTATTCATTTATTCATCCAATCACAAACTGGTTTGAAAAAACGCAAACTCCAACACACAACCTAGGCAGCCCCGAAGTCGGAGCAGCTCGTCCCGTGCAGCGCGAGCGCTGAGCTAAACCCAAGCCTCGAGTTCTCCAAGTCGAACTTGAGCAAATGGTTCTCCATCTGGTAGCCCCCCACCACCACCGATGTTGTGGGTCCCGTCGGGTTGATCCTGCCCTGCACGAAGGCGAGGCAAACCACATTACCCCCAACCCTCACCATCGAGTTCCACCCATACAACCTCCAGTAAACTCCCCCTCCCTGCATCACCAGGTCGATTATCGGCACCTGTGGTCCCGTCCCCGATTCCCTGATCGTCCCCGAGTCGAAGCACGCCCCGAAAGGAGCCACTGCCCCCACCTTCGGTGCGCCCATCGACTTCGCGCCCCTCACAAACTCATTAACCAGTGCCCTGTAGATTGACCTCTCCAGAGCTGTGTAGGGCCTCACTGTGCGGAGGTCCGTTCCACCTGCCCCCGTGCGCCTGTCGATCGAGAGCAGTGTTTGGTTCAGCCGGAGCGTCCTCCCCCCGACCCTGATGGACTCTAGCCCGACAAAGTACTCAGCCGTCAAGTTCCCGATCTCGTCGTTCATGTCCGTGGGCACGGGGTTCCTCACCAGTGGTGTGGTGAAGAGAGAGATATTGCAGAAGGGGCCCCGGAAAGCCGCCCGGCCCATGACCATCCCGCCCGTCTCCCTGGACGACGGGAGGCAGAGTGCAAACTCCCGCCGGATCCCGAACGTGGACGCTAGCTGCGCGTGGAGTGAAATCCGCGTGCGGCCCATCCCGACGAGCCCGGCGGTGGGGCCAGCAAGGCCGTCACTCTGGGTCCGGTATGAGAACTGGAACGGGAAATCGGGGGCCTGGTAGTGGGCTCCGCGGGTGGACTGCACGTGGAGGGTGTCGGTTCCGAGGCCGCTGTAGACCTGGGTGCCGGAGAATGGGTTGAGGGCGTCGTCGGAGCAGGTGTTGTTGGTGCAGCCGGGGACAGGAGGGGAGAGGAAGCAAAAGACGCAGCCGACGCCGTTGGCCAGGGTGCAGAGGCGGGTCCCGCAGGAGATGGGGCGGTAGGTGGAAGCGGAGTTGAAGTAGTCGAGGGAGTTGAACCACAGGAACTTGCCTCCGAGGTCGAGCACGACGTTGAACGTGGTGGAGTTGGAGCCGATGCTGATGGTGGTGTAGTACTGGTTGGTGGTGGGGTCTTTGTGGATGGGGAAGGTGAAGGCCTCGGGTTTTAGAGGGGTTGTTTGGGAGTTTAATGGGAGGGGAGAGAGCATGAATACAACAGAGAGGAGGATCAACACTTTTAACAGAGCCATTTTTGTCAGTTACATTACATGTGGGTTTGTACGAGGATTTATCATTTATATATACTCACAATTTTGGAGGATTTAGCCATTTTTGTCAGTTACATTACATGTGGGTTTGTACGAGGATTTATCATTTATATATACTCACAATTTTGGAGGATTTAGAGCATGTTTGTTTATTAAAATTTTTGAGTTTGTTTGGTTTTTTTGGTTTGGTTTAGTTAATTTTGAAAAAGTAGTATGGTTAGTTGTTAGTGGTTATATTAAAATAATATTAAAAATAAAATAATTAAAATTGGTTTGATGTAAAAGTAGGAAAGAGAAGATATGATGTGATTGTTAGTTAAAATAATGTTAGTGGATGAATAGTGAATTAAGGTTTATGTGGTGTGTATAAATGATTGATTGATATTATTTAATTATATTGATAATATTGATGATAGTGGGGTTGAGTTAAAGTTGAGTTAAAAAAAAGTGATTGAGTTAAAATGTGAGAATTTTTTTGAAAAATCTTATAAACAAACATGCTCGTATATAGTAGGATTTTAATTATTATTATATAATTTAAGACGACTAAAAAAATGGTTTTGACTTTGACCACAGATAGCCTGCCAGTGCCAGCAAATTAGCATTATCTTTAACACGTGTCTGGTTGAAGTCAGCAGAAGAATTAGAGGTAACAAGTCAAAGCAAGGCCTATTTCAATTCTGCTATGAATGCCGCAGCCACTTGGATCATCAATGTTCCAAACTTCCAATAATCCGCTTTAGGCGCCAATCGCGCAACTTGAAAGTGTCAGCGGTTTTGTTTGGTTAAGTCTAACTACTTTTATTTTCTTAGAGTTAAGAGTTACTAGTATGTAACCCTTGCGATGCACGTGCTAGTACATGTTTTGAAAAATTTTAAAAAAATTAAAAGGTCATTAATTAATAAGTTATTAGAATATGTATGACATTCATAAAATAAACATAAAATCGTCATTGGTAAAAAGTTATACATTATTAAAAACATCCTTATATACAACGTTATTAGTTTGATTACTGGGTAACTCCTCGTCCCCACAAACTAATATTTTCAACCCCTTCCTATTAGTAACACGTGAAACAACGACGTATAACAGATCATGACTAAAAATAGGATTTTTCAAGAACAGTCCAACATGTGATAAAGACTGACCCTAACTCTTGTTTATGGTCATGACATAAGAAACCATAAGGGAAAATTGCCTCCGTTGGAACTTAAACGGAACCCTAACGTCAGAAGGAGTTATGTTCATCCGAGGAATCAACGCCTTATCACCTGCGTGATCTCCAGTCAATATCCTACATTCAAGAACATGCGGAGATAGCTTCGTAACAACCAAACGTGTGCCACTACACAGACCCATAGAATGGTCCATGTTTCGCAACAACATTACCGGAGTTCCTATCTTCAAATGCAACTCATGGTTCGGCGTTCCCGAACACTTAATGCTATTCAAGAACTCGGGTGTGTGGAGACCAGCCAAAAAGCCATTGCCGGAATCCGACTTAGACGTACTGTCAGAGCTCAAATATGTACGACCTTCAACAGAATTCATATCTGACATGTATAGATTGATAGACTCAACGACCTCCAAAGTAGGCGCTAATATAGCTCTGTCCTTCAAATAACTTGGATCGTCAGTTGCATTTTTGAACATTGGATAGGTACTTTCGACGATTGTAGAAATTGGATCATCTGAGATATCCAATCGTATATGCTCTGGAATGTCAATTGCGGCACAACCGTCATTTGATCCTCCTACAGTCCCATCTCCAATGCTCGCAATTCACTCAGCAAATGTTGTTAGCTCATCACGTTCGTCTACATCATAAATGCTATGAAGACGCATGTTCTTTATATCGTGGAATATTCAATCTTGATATAGGACTGTGGGATGATTGAATAGTACCTTTAATTTACAACTAAACAATTAGTTTTTGTTGTAAAAGTATTCAATTAATTGAAAAAGATTTAATTAAATATAATTCTTACTCCAAATGTTAGAATATAGAGTATTGCCAGGAGTACACGAATTTGTAGGTCGAAACAGTGCAATAGAAATAAAGTAGAACCAATAATACAAAGTAACATTACATATATATATATACACACACCAAATGGAAATTTTATAAAATTTAATTACCATTGGTGACATCTGATAACGGTGAATGTCCTTGAATCTGCAAAATACTATCTCCCAGCTTTACGCTATTTTGCACGACGGGATGATCACTCATTATTTCTCTGCACAAAACAATATAAGAAATTTTTATTATTTAAAAATTATTGTAAGAACAAATAAATGTAAATAATATATACCATAAATCAAATAAATATATATAATATGAATTTGCTTACTAATGTAACTTAAAGTAAGAGTGTTGAATGTAATGAGTATTATAGAGACCCAAACATTGTTGGGTTCTGTTAGGAACGTCAAACAACATGCACGGCATTGAACTTTATCGAAA